ACACAAAAACCTTTTTTCTTTAACACTTAAAAAAAATAACAACTCTCAAATGACATCCTGTACTTGTGTACAACTTAGCTTAGAGAATAACTTCACAAGGCAACTAATTAAACACAAGGCTGCTACACAGTGTATAGATGTTCCACGGAAGCCAGTGCTAAATTGAAGTGAAAATATAAATAAAAGAATTTCACCATTACAATGAAACTGCATAAAAGCTACATAATTAAAGCCTTTTTCTCCACACAGTTTCAACATAATGGCTATATAGATTTTTTCTATAGGATAATATAGCTCAACACCACCAGTATCAGTTATTTTATCACTATCATTATTTTTTACTTTAGGGCTCTGCTCCATGTGACAGTCAAGTGCTGTGAACGGCTTTAAATACTCAAAATGCATTGGGATGCTCATTTAGAAATATATGAGCTCAGGTGCAATCAATTTTAATCTGGCAAACATCCCAGTATTAGTACAGGAAATGAACAGGGATGGTTAGCTGATACGAGACAAAAATTAATATGTAGCATTTGGTGGTTAATTTTTAATCCAGGCCCAACTTAGTAACACACACGTTCAGCAAAGTTTATACATTTTCATTTTGATATTTTGTAGATATTTCACTCACAGCAAGAGCAGATAAACTTTCAGTAATGCCCCCAAACTATCAGGGATAATAACACCAAGAAAAATCTGATGGGATCAGTACAACTCCTACTATGCACAGTGTCATCAAATAGTTTCAACTATTTACAGCAGACATGTGCATATAAAAGTCAGGACATCTGTGAAACAAATCTTGTGCACACCTTAATATGAGGCAATACTAAGGGACATAAAATATGAGTCCAAGAGGCCATGTTCACTTGGGTTGGGTTGCTTTCTGTTCTTGTTCAATAGGCTTTGCAAAGTACTCTCTGTACATGGAGAACAGGACACCTGAAAACAACAACAAAACAAAAGAAGCATGGGAAATGACCCGTGTTTATAGTATTATGATTTCAGGTTCAAACCACAAATCAAAAATAAAGAAGTGGTTGCAGTTTGGCAGTAAGAACTGAAAGATGACTCACCAACAGTCATTGCTCCCACCACAAAGCCTTGGGCAGCTACACGCATGTGAATCAGGTGCACCGACATTTTTGTATCTCCACGACTTTTCATTTTCATCAGCCTGTAGCCAACAATAGCAACAAATCCAGCCATCCCTGCAAAATGCAAAAGTCATTAAAACAAAAATAAGACAGCAACATATCCCACAAATCCTCTGAAAACTCACTCAAACCCCAAAACTTAAACTTTTGTGTTTGTGAGCACATATTTTATTTGTCCTTGTCATAATATGTACTCACCGACTGGGACAAATGGATTCTCCTTTGCCTTTCGCCAGAATTTGGACTCACTCTCCTCATAAGAAGACATCTCGCCTGAAACAAGAACGAGGTCGACTGAGTTCAAACGTTTGTTGGCCGTGTAGCAGTACAGCATGCAAGCCAAGGGTGTAGATTTGGTTGTGGCATTGGTGGGGACGGATGATTCAACCATCGACCCCTGCCCCGTTTCTTATTTTTTCCTTTTTGTTTTTGCTTCTTAATAAAAGGAGAAATATACTTGCTTACATATGCTATTCTACCTGCTTTTAAACCGTTTAAAATTACAATTCATAGTTTTATATGTGAATTATATAATGTTAAATTACTATTAAACAAATGATTGACTAAGTATTTTAGACTTTAGTTTACTTCAGCCATATTCCATATAAATCAGGTATCATATAAAAATAAAAATAGAGTCATGACAATAAAAGAATATGACTTTAAGGATTTAACAACATTACTTCAGCTATAGTACACCAACATCTCTGACACATTAGCACTAAGGGAACACTGAATGACCTGGTGGGTTTTGTCCATAAAACTACTCGTCTAAG